AGGAATTATTCTCTCACTGCTAATTCAAGAGTCTCCTTGTTACACCCTAAACCCAGATGCAAAACAGGCACCATGAAGATGCAGATTTTAAACCTGATAATATTAGGAAGAGAAGGCAAGCATTTTTCCCTGATGTTATTTCAAACCATGTTTTATCTGCTATCAAATTGTTTAGAGAGTTCATGAATCTGGGACTTAAAGAAATATGGAGAATATATTAGTAACACTTGTATGTCATACAAGCTATGGATTTCCACCTCCATAGAATTAAAGATGAGCTTATGACCCTTTGTTTAAAAAATACTTTGGTCCTACAGAACTACAATCCTTCACTCTGACAGAGCTGAAAAAATATTTTTAGAATTAGGTGTTAACACAATGAAGAAAAGTACAGATTTGAGTGCTGCTTTTATAACTCCTGTGCTTGGCATTAAAAGCAGCATTCTCTCTTCTCCTGAGAAGTTGGAAAAAATCTTTTGGTTTTAGGGAGCAGAGGGACAGGGTAACCAGTACCTATCATTCTTTTTGATCAGGAGTTCTTTTTGCCTGTGGAAAATGCTAACAATAAGTGTTACAGTATCAAAAGAGAACTCTGTTCCACAATAAACTTTTCAATACATTTTCACTCAGAGAAGGACTTTCTTATAAGAGCCATTGCAATGTTTCACAACAGATGGAGCATCTTCTTTTTCTAATTACTGAGCTTGACTAAAATATGGACTAACTTGCAACAAGAGAAAGAGAGGTATTTTCAGAATAAAGTGATAGCATTCATAAGATCACAGTATCTACCCATTCTACCAAGAGCAAATTTTGCTCCAAAAGAATAACAGAAATTATAAACCAAATGTTTTCATTTATCAGATCCACTGGAAGTCCTGCTAAATTTAAAAGTGACTTATATGTCTAGAAGTGACTTATATATCTATTTTGAAGTAGGAAATGATCAGTTAAATTTGGGAAGATCATAATCATGTTCATAATTACAATACTTTCTAAATGTCTAAGTTAATTTCCATATGAATACTAAAATCCATTTCCTTCTGTGGGGAGAAAGGGCAGTTAAAAAAATTTTTTAAAAAATTAAATTGTTCTTCATGCCAACTAGGAAGTGGAAGTATAAAATCACAAAAAACTTTGACTAAAGGCTTTAAAAAAAAACCACACCAACAAACCAAACCAAACCATCCACAAAACAAAAAAAACAAAACCCATAGGACACTCACAGGAAGTAAAAACCAAGCTCTTAATATTTAGTGGGTTAAAGAAAAGGTGTAAATACTTCAGAGGCATTGGAACACGACTAAGATTTTTAAGTACCTCACAAATTAAAAACATATATTGCTGATATCTTGCTTTGACTAGATTATCTTGATAATGTATTTCAATAAAAAGAACTAATTATCTTATAATATTGGTCTAAAAAATTTAGAATAACAAAAAAAGTCCTGCCCCTAACAAACGCAGAAAAAAAATTACCATGAATATCCATGTGTTTGAAAGAAATACAAAATTAACAAAGTTAGAAACAATTGTTTATTCAAATGCACTACTCAATTAGCAATTGCATCTTCATACATGCCCTGTTTTTAGTGTGCAAACAGCAATCTAAACCAAGATGTATTAAGAAGCCATCAATACACCATATGAACACTTAATTTTGATTACATTTCTCATTCCCCCACTGAAACCTTCAAAGTATGGGTCGACATAAATTCCTCCTTAGACTTCTGTTGAAATTAGACAAAAATAACAACAAAAAGGGGGCAATGCCTTACTTATATATTTATATTTGAGTGAGAAGAATAAGCATTTAAATATCCCAGTTAGCACATTTTAACTATTTTTCCAAAAGAATTTCCATTCCATTTGCTTTTCTTTTCCTATTGCTTAGCAAGATCATTTTACCAACAGACAAGGAAAAATGATGTGTAAGAATGCCAGTCTTAAATTCTTCCTATATACATGTTTCATTGAATGTCTGAAGTAATAATAAAAATTAATGTCTATTTAAACCTTATACTCTACAAAACTCCATTCTAAAATAATGTAGGGCTGGATTTAGTTTAAACTGACAAAATCCAGGAAATTCAGTTGCTTCAGATTTAAAACTTAAAATAGTCATGCCTAAGATATCAAACAACGGTTGATTTTACATGTATTGTAGTAACCAGGAATGGGTTGCAATTATAGCTAGAGATCTCTTTCAGGAAAATTATTTCAGTTGCCTTTGCAAAGCAAGAGAAATCCTTAAAGAAATCATAAACTAACTGTAAAAGTAATCTGCAACAATTCCTTTTGGATGAGCAACAAGCATGCATTGTCAGCTTTCAAATTATGATTTAGTTAACAAGACTTGCAGAGCCTCAAGTGTTATACCTACAGGAGGAACAGTAGAAGTGGCCATGAAAAGTTCCACATCCGAAGCACTTCAGTAAAGAAGTCTGCACATTTTTATCTTTTCAACCTCATTACAGTTAGATATTGCAAAACAGTTTACAAAGTCAAGCACCCAGCTTGCAATAGCCACACCAGCAATTTTTAAGGGGCAAGCACTGCAAGCCCTTAATTCAGGTTGAACTTCCAACAAAATCAGTAGTTGATTTGCTAAATAAGAACTACAATAAGAGATGCTAAGAGTAGGAAAAGAAAACAAATGCACCCCACCACCTTTCTTGCAAGTTTCACCTACTCTTTGGGTAAAGAAACATTCATGTTGAATACCAAGTACAAAATAGCTCTAGAAAAAGAAAATTAAAAATTAATATGGGCCAAAATTCAGCACAAAAATATTCTAGAGCAAATCAACACATTAAGTGGACTCTAATCATAACTGACAACTGCAGCACTCTTAAAAGATACTAGAGCTTGTAAATGGGAAAGACCCAATTACTACATTACTGCAAAACTCTTTGCACTTTCTAAAAAAACATTTAGACTTGTCTTAAAGTTCTAAATACTTTAATATATACTAAATTTGTAAAAGGAAAGAAAGTGTGCATCTAATGAGAATACCATTCTGCAAATCCTTATTCATGGTCGTGAGTCATTAGAACTACTTGTGTATATTAAAGTTTGTAGGATTAGGCCCTAAATGTAAAATCCCTTTGATTTACAGTTGTGAACCAGAAACCACCTTTTTTTGCTGAATAAGAATCTATGAGAAATACTCTGAACCTGTGTCAGACCAAGGAACACTCCATCAAACTTTCACCTTTTAAATATCTCACAAGGGAGCCTTAGATACCTTTGCCTTGCAATATAATCCTGATTTTCATTAACAAGAATGTAACTGCTTTTGTACAGGAATAAAAAAAAAAAAAAAAAAAAAAAAAAAGAACAAACTCAAACTGTTCAGTGAAATCCTAAAATCCTTATTTTCCTAAGAAAGCTAGTAGAAAAAAAGAAAAAAAAAAAAGAAAAAAAAATAAGAAAAAAAAATAGAACAAATAAGAAAGAAACAACAGCAATGCAGTACCTCCAAAGCAGTTTGTGGACAGACCGAAATATTTATTTATTTGGAAGCATATTAGGCATGTTACCCAAACACAGTTACAACATTAATAGAAGTACTTTCACTGTGTGTTTAATCACATAAAGAAAGGATTAAAACTGAAAGAATTACTACTCACTAATCACAAACTTCAAAGCCTATATAAAGTTAAGGTTTACTTCCTACACTTTCTGAATTCAAAATTTTCTTACTCAACTAAGAATTTTCTCTAGGAGGCCTTAACTACCCCAAAATCATAGTACTGCATAAAAAATATATTCAGAATCCATCTGCCTTAAATACTTCTGTAACAGGAGGTGTACTGCTGGTAAATTCCAGTAATTCTTCAGTTCTACCAGCTACTACTTACAACAATGAGGAAATATGAAATTTACACCTCACTGGATTTCCTTGGTAGAAATTAGGAGTTACTGGGATAAACTGAAACTTTGGGTTTTTAAAACTTCTCTGATTTTAAGGTATAATTACTTTTAAAAAGAAAAAGTGTTCTTGAAGACAGACAGATTTGATTAAGGATAAAAACTGAATTCCAGCTGAAAGTTGGAATTGCTGAAGTCACAACATGTTCATAAAATTTGTTGTACTGCAATATGTTCTGCTGAAGATAAAGTCTTACAGATTTTACTATTCCATTTTGTATTTAAACAAATGTACTCAATCCAAGACCAGTTACTATTTTCATTTCAGTTGTCTGTGTAACTGGTTAGTTAAGACTATTCCTCTATGAGCAGATAGGTTATGATTACTCTGAATGGATTTCTCAGTTTCAGCCAAATGAGTACTTTTAGAGCAAAGCAGGACTTGCAATATGAATGTAGCAGAGTCCATATTAATTCCTCTAAATTGTTCAGTGTTTTGCTACATAATATCTGCTTGCCAAAAAATAAGATAAATAAAATTTCTGAATATTTTGCTACAGATGGAAGGCTCTGAAAACCTGTTATTTTTTTCTGTTTTCTGCTTCTTTGCTTGTCAGGTAGCTAGTTTATTAATGCCTTTAAAACCAAAATTTACACACTACATGGAAATACACCCAGCTAGCTCTCTATTCTATTCTTTAACACACCCTCCCAAAAAAAAAAAAAAAAAAAGTTATTGAAAAATGATTTTTTTATATCATCCATACTTTGTTTTTGGATTAGCAACATTTCAGCTGGAGTAATTCCCAAGACAGGAATATGAGAACAATACTATATGGAGAATTTATATAGCTCAAATGGATCAAGGCTGTTGCAAACTCAGCTTTTTATACATATTTTTGGCCACTTCATTTCCTTCTGAGCACAGCCTGTGTTAATACTTTTACTTAATGTTTTATAATTTTACAGGAGGAGTGTAAAGAAGAATTATTTTAACAAATAATAAATTCTTGAGCAATCCCATTAGAACTGGCCTATTTTGAATACTCTGAATAAGTTATACTACTGTGTACATTTTTTAAAATAAAGAACATATGTAATAAGAGAAATGTTAATATAATATATACCATGCTCATGCTCCATCAACCTTCCAGAGAGTTTTTCAATCACAGGAGTAAGCCGTTCTCCAAAATCAGCTCTCTATTGAAAGGTCAAAACCTGCAATAAAAATGTCATGTATTATAACATATTTCCAACACCCACAGTTTCATGGTTGATCCCCAAACATAGATGTAGGTCATCAGCTTGACCCTCGCATTGTCTATGTTACAGGAAATCCTAATTTTAAAAATACTTTTTTTTTTAAACCAAACTGACTTGATTAGGAACACCTGTGATATGCCTCTTTATTATCAGAAGCCTCCTGAAACAAATCAGATTAGCATGTTTCTGCTTTCATTCTACCCACAGCATTTTAAGATGAAAGTAAGAGGAAGGAGGAGGGAAAAAAAAAAAAAGAAAAAAAAAAAAAAAAAAGAGTAAGGGGTGTTGTTCTCCCTTCCTACCTACTACCAATCCCTCTCTCCACCCTCAAACAAGCAAACAGGTAAGTTTTTTTAGTAAGTAAACTATTTAATGGATGTGTGATTACTGCTGTCATATTTTCTAAGATATGCTATTGACTGTTAATGCATTTAAATTCTAGTGTTTCACTTTAAGCAATTTTAATTTTTTTTTTTTGGCTCTTCAAGGCAGTACCATTATTGTCTTTACTAAAATTAAGCCTACAAATATTAGCTACTTTAAAACATATAATGGAAAAACTACAGTCATATAATACATTCTGAGAAATGAAATAAAATTTTAAGAGTTTTAAAAAAAAGAAAAAAAATAAATAAAAATAATAAAAAAAAAAGGCATCAGCCCAGATCAGGTAAGAACAAAGTATAACTTGACAGATGCAGTAAATATAGCCAAATAGCTACTGGAGGAAATACTGCATGCAGAGAGACAAAATCTTAACTCTGTTTTGACTTTATTTGAACTTTTCATTGTAGACACCTTAACAAGACACATCCTATGCCTAATAAATGAATAGCTGATGCCTAGATCAGGTCACCTGCTCATAAATACTTCCATAAATTTGTTCTTTATTCTTTAAGAGTATTCCAGAAAATACTACAACCCTCTTCACAGATATGGACTTATAATAATCACCCTGCTTTAACAAGAAAAAGGACTTTGTAATTTCGTGTATTCCACACATCATGTATTTCACCTTTTAAAAAAAAAGTTTTTGTTCTTAAACCAAACACACCAAAGTTGTGGTCCCCCTCTGTGCTTATAATGAGATTTAACATACTTGAAGATTATATTGAAACTGGACTTACATAAAGCTTTTTAAAATGAAAATACATGCCTAAGCCCTATACGATGTGTAATTATCTTTTTCTCAGACTAAATCTTCAAGAGAATTTCAGTTCATGCTAAATAAAATAATTAATTTTAACAAGATTCAATGCTGAAAAGTTTATTAATAATCTATTTACTGCAGATTCACTCACTCCAGTGTCTGAAAACAAACTAAATAGTCACGGGGTGGGGGGGTCCTATTTCTAACAGTGCTTTCCTTTAGACACTGGTAACGATCACCGAAAGTCACTCTTATCTTTCAGTTTTAAGCAATATAACAATATTGCCTTCAGTTTTAGAGGACATCTTGGGAAACCTTTAACAAAATAAAAGCTAAATGTACATAATTTACATTTGCTACTGTTGTGTGCATATGGTAATAAATGTGTGTGTGTGATGTCATCCTTACACACTAGCAACTGTTCATTATCGAGCTCTGGAAAAGTGTTAAGAATTAGATAAAGTTTAAAAATTTAGTATTCTCTGTAAAAATAACTTTTTTTTTGTTTTAATAATGCACTAAAAATATTATTACATGCAAATATTAGAATAAAAAATTGACCAACTTTAAGTGTTAGCTGGATTAGAGCTCAAGTTGTTTCACCCTCCTCTAACACTCATCCAAATCTTCTAAAGTTCTCACATAGCATTTAAAGTGAAGATCAGAACTATTCCTCAGTTGAGGTAATGTCAACTGTATCCCAAAGTTTCATTATTAGAATAAGTGTTTTAAAAATTTACAGGAAAGGGTTAAAAAATAATCAGTACAGACACTGCCTTACACCCTTATGGGCAGAAATTTTTATACCTAGCTTACTCCGAATATTTCTGAAATTGTCCAGTATCCACAATGAAGACATTTTTCAGTAAAGAGATTCCTTTTGAAATCCAACTTAAGTATTAATACACCAGTAACCTGAAAACTCAACATAACTCCTGCCAATAATGCAAAAAAAAAAAAAAATATTGCAAATCGACATTTTCACTGACTAAAAGAGGTTACTGGAAATCTGTGGCTACACCTCTGCCTGATGTCCCCTTTCTATCTGAGGGGCATATCAACTTTTTTCTATCTTTAAAATACATTACTAGTTCTATTAAAAAAATAGATGGCTGTGAGAAGAGTCACAGGGGACTAAGCTCAAAAACAATTTGGGCAGCCTGTGCAAACAAAATTTTCCAAGTATTACTGATAATAGAAAACACAAATTTTTTTGAAATCAGGTTCCAGTGCTAGATATTAAGTGTTTAGAGCTTATAATAATAAATAGGTGAAAAAAAAAACCCGTGGAGAACACTTACTGGTGTACATGAAGTTATTTTTAGTTTTAAAAACTTTCAGACAAAAATATTTTTGTTTCTACACAAAAACCTACAATTTCATTCCCCATTTGTTTCACAGACAGTCAAAACTAGTCCAAGATGCGCTCTATCCTTGACAGTTTGTAATGAATGTGAATTACTCAAGTAACTTGCAATGGGCCTTTAGGTGTGGGTGGATGACTGCATCTACAAAGCAGAATACCTGCAGCATATTCATAGATACAATGATAAGCTTCTTGGTGCTCTCTTACATGTTCAGTAGTTAATTGCTCCCCAGAGCAAATAACAAAACACAGTAAGGTCCTATGAGAAGACCACTAACTGATATGTGGCTACTTTTCCTGAAAAGAAAGCTCATCTGCTTTTACATGTGTAAAAGTGTATCAGAAAAGCAGTGATACACCTGTTAGGATGGCTTCTGACACTCAAGATGGGTGAGATGTGCATCTTCACACAGTGTTCACAGGCAGGGTATACACAGCCAGGTAGTTTGTATGCAGTTCCAGTTGTACTTCACTGCAGAATTTGACTTATTAGTCATAAAAATAATTAAGGAATTAAAGACTCCAATTTATTTTTCCTTTAATGACATTACATTTTGGATGGAATAGCAATAGGTTCAGAATTCCAGAAGCTAAGGATAAAAACACCCAAACAATGAACTAAGCAGAAAAAGAAGCCCATGATACCTTGGTATCGTATGTGTAGTCTGCCTTTAAAATGTTACTGCAATAAGATTTCTATGAAGCATTAGCCTAACACATTAAAAGGTCACACATATACACAGTCATACTTTCAAATTACGGTTATTTCTGAAAATCAAAAACTTCACGAGTTACTTCCAGCTTCAGTAGATTTGTATCTATAAAATGAGAGGGTACCCTCTTCGAAACTTTCAGTAAAACTTTAGAGGAGAAAGAGAAAAAAAACCAAGCCCGAACCAAATGAAGCTTATTTGGATGTTTTTCCTAAGAATAAAGATAAAGGATTAGACTCAAAAGAAACAGAGGGAAAAAAAATACACACACTATGCTACATGCTATACCAAAGCAAGGTTTAATTAAGCATGGAACTTTAGCTTTCACTTATTGATAAATTATAAATATATACATTTAGATATTCAAATTCAATTGATATTTCCTCCAAATGTAACTTTTCCAGGGCCAAGTAATCCCAGTTAATGTTTGACATTTTAACTGAGGTAAAAAATGCAAGCAGCTCTACAAGGGTCTATTTAAGCTACATGATTTTTCCCCCCCCTTAATTTCTCAAAAGAAGGAGTACATAAAATATAAGAAAGGAAAAGTTACTTAAAATACACTATATATTCATATTAGATTGCTTACTGCTTTCATTTTAGCCACACCCACCTTTATGTAATTGTAAAATATGAGAACAGTGCAGCTGAGAAATAAGAAAGCTTAAAAGAACAGTTGTTTCATGTAGTCAAATACGTGTTAAGCACAGATTTTAACTAAAATGGAAAAGATGTATAAATTGCATGCTACTGAGCATGACTAGTGGGGAAAAATGCACACGCACCTGTACAATACTGAATTATAGAGGTTTTTTGTAAATTAGCTATGAGTCAGGACAGTTATTTCAATGAAAGTGAAAGTCAGTGTTTGTGAGTGCACTTCCACAGCGAAGTAGTGTAAATCTCTTCATATTCTGATATTTCAAAGTATACACAGCTACAGTGAAATAGCTTTGTGCACATTCCCATACTGACTGTCAAAAATATTTCTGAAAACACTCTGAAAGTAATGATGCAGAGCTAAAGAAATGAGTTCTAAATCTCAATAGGATCTTACTAGTATTTCAATTTCAAGGATTAAGCGGAATTTTCTATCAGGGCACAAAGGTATGAATTGTGGAAACAAACTAAGCAGCTATTCCCAGGGAAAAAATAACTGAAAAAGTGTAATTTATGTACTGGATTAAAAGAATCCAGTGAAACTAGGGATTTGAGACAGAAAAATCTCCTTGAACTGTTGGATTTCTGCGTTACACAGAAAATACTTGGAATCACAATCCAGTTGCCATGCTGGAAACGCTAAGTTTTGCATTTCACTTTAAGACTACACGCTCTCAGCCATGTACACAGAAATCTTTTGTACAGCACTTCTGCACCCCAACTCTTCTCTACGTCCCTCCTACGTCCCTCGGTTAACTCGTTATTTTCGGTGGCCGCGGTACTCAAGCGCAAGGCGGCCGCTTCTGGCTTTGAACGCCGCGGAGGGATGCGCGGGGGGGGAGCGGGGGACGGGGGGGCAGCGTGGGGGGAGGAAGAGGAGCGGGGAAAGGCTGTGACCCGGTCCAACCTCCCAGCCCCGCGTCCCCGCAGGCAACCAGGGAGGGCAGCAGCCGGTCCAGCCTCCGCTGAACGGGCGCCTTAACGGGGGGCCCGACGCCGCTTTCGCTGCGCATCCTGCGCGCCCGCCAGCTCGACGGCAGCCCCGGGCGCCCGCCGCTCACACGGCATCGGGGAAAATATCCATGCGCCTTCCTGCCGCCAGAAAAAAAAAAATTTAAAATAATAATGATTAAAAAAATGTCAGGCGGCCGAAAGCGAAGAGGGAAGTAGGAAGAGGAATAAAAAGTAACGCTTAGAAATTGTGGCTGGGAAGGAGCCCGCCGGCCTGGCAGCGCCCGAGCTCTCTCCCGGCCCCGCCGCACGGTGCTGTCCCCGCCGGCGCTCCCGCCACAAAAAGATGCCTTGTGAGCCTGTGTGCGCAACTCCGAAACGCGAGCGCCCACGCCAGAGCCGGCCCCGAGGGGGTTAAACGGCGTCGTGGAGAAAAAGGCACCGTGTCACATATTATGTGTGTATGTGTGTATGTGTGTGTGTGCGGAGGGGGAATCGCCCGGCGCACAGGCTGCGAGAGATCGCGGCGCCTATCACAATAAGCACGATCGCGTTCATACAGCTACGAGAGACCGAGAGCTGCTGGCCACCGAGAAATGACATAGAAACAACCACCAAAAAATAGCTAAGCCAATGACAAATAGCGACCCGGGTGACAGAGACAGAGAATTTTGTAGGCGGAGAAGAGGAGGTGAATGGCCAGCTCTGATCACAGTATTAGGCTGGGCTATCTATGGGGAGGGTATTTACTCGGTTTTGGGGTGTGTGGGAGGAGAGGAAAAACACCTACAAATAGCTGGCACGATTCAAATGGTCTCGGATTATGTTTCCCCCCCTCCAGTCCAGGAAGGAAACTCGCTTTTTAACGCTACGAGGGGGAAAAAATAGCTCTGTGCAATAGGGGATGAAGAGCACTTTGGTCATTCGTTAATACCCAAAGGGGCAGAGATGATAAATGTGACAGCATGTGGCAGCACGACCGTCACCCGGGCTCCTGCAAAAGGCGGCTCCGTATCGCGACACGGGAAATTATGCGATTGAGTGGGAGCTGGAGAAAGCGCTTAAACGGAGAAGTTAATCTGCTAACATGGAGAGGAAACAAACGGAGAAAAAAACCCCGAAGGTTGTCCTCTATATATTTTTTTGGGTGGGGGGGTGCGGGGGGAGAAGGGAAAGGGAAGAGAAAGAGCGAAGGGGCATTAATCCAGCTTACGAAAACACGGGGAGAGAGGAAGGAGGAGGCGGGGGGTAGAACGCGGGAGGGAGGGATCCGCTGGCTGGGGGGTGGTAGGGACCAGAGGGGAGATGAGGGGAAGCCTGTCCTATCATGTCCCGGGAGCGCGGGGCACCGGGACCCTCTGGAGCTCCAGCTGTCCCGCGGCTCCCGCCCGCCCCCCCGCCAGCCTCCGCGCCGCTCTCCCCGGGCCGGGCGTAAGCGGCGCTCCCGGGATCCCCGCCTGGGCGCGGTGCCGCCCCGGGGAGCAAGCGGGGTTACCTGCAGGAGGAGACGGCCGCCCCCGACTGCTGAGGCTGAGGGAAGCGAGTGACAGATCCGCCCAGGACCTGCCACCGCCTCCCGGCCCGCTGCCCGCCGGGCTCCCGAGGTGACTTTTCCCGGCGGCGGGGTGCAGGTTGCCCCCGTTTTCCAAAGACGCTCTTCCCCCGCCCGCCCAGCTCCCTCTGCCCCAGCCGCGCCCGGTCCCTCTGGCTCTTACCGCCTGTGCCGGCGGCGGCAGCGGCGGCACCCGCTCCGAAGCGCGACGGTGAGCGTGGAAGCGGGGTAGCGGAGGGGAAGGGAGGTGAGTTTCGCGGGGCGGGAGGGCGGGCGGCCCCCGCGCCTCCCCCGCGGCGGCGGTAGCAGCGATGCGATCGGGCATCACTCGAAAATGGCGCCGAAAGAGCGGAGGGCTCTTCATTCAAATTCGTTAGCGCCAGCCCCGCCGCCCCGGGGCATGCCGGGAACGGGGGGGGGCGCGCGGGGGCCGAGGCGGCAGCGCCGCACGGACACGGCGCTCGCTGTCAATGCCGCCCCTCCCCCCGCGCCTCCAAGGACCCCCGCGGCTCCCGCTGCGCTCAGGTTGCAGCCTGACCCCCCTTGTCCCCCCCCACGGCCGCGCACCCCGCCGCAGCTGGAGGAGGGTTCGGCGCGCTCGGCGCTTGCCCGCAGCGCGCGGGCCCGATCCCGATCCCGATCCCGACTGGCAGCCGCCGCTCCCCATCCCCCTCCTGCCGCCACACCGGCTCCGGGCGGCAGCGCCCCGGGGCGCCCCCCGGCCGGGCTTGCGAGCAGCCCCTGAGCGGCGGAGCGGGGCTGTGTGGGCTCATCCCTGGGCAGAGCGGGCCCGGAGCGGACTACACTGGTCACTGCAAAAAAAAAACAAAACCAAAAACCACCCTAAAAAGAAAACCAAAACAAACCCCAAACCAACTAAAACACCCCACACCGAAGAAAAAAAAAAAAAAGAAAAAAAAAAGGCAAAAAGCCCACTCGGAGGAACTTCACGGAGCGAGGTTCAACTCGGGCAGCGCTCCCGCCTCGGCTGCGCGCAGAGCGCTCGGAGAGAAGGCGAACTTTCATTTTCACGCCGCATCCTCCCCTCCGCCCCAAGCTGCGACTGATCGTAAGATACCTGATGGCCGGGTTAGTGCTCCCAGCCGCCTTTCAGGGATGGGGAAGCCGAGTTGGAGGTTAGCGAGCTGCCGAAAGCCGCGGGGGGAAGGCAGGCTACAGTGCCGCCCGAGCCACTCGCAGCCTGCACTTGACTTGTGCCTCATGAAGGGTCCTTCCCCGGGAGCTCCGCGGACCCTGCCTCGGCTGGGAGACGCAGCGCATCCCTGCCAGCCGCTCCTCGAGCTTTCTGCCTTCAGTGTCCCGGGCTCTTTTTTGCTAATCTGATGCACTTTTTAGAAAGGGAATGGAAAGCAGGGGCCTCAGACCTGCAAACTGTTGTTCTTATGACTTAGGGGAAGATTTTTCAAAAGTACATAATGGGAGTCTGGGAGCTCTGTTCCCACTGACTTTCAAAATCTTCCCTTCACGTCTGTGAGCAAGTCCTCTTGAACTCGGTTGGACTGCTGGCAGACGAGCGCTAGCAGGCTCAGGGCCTAATGCTTTTCATGATTCCACTGCTCCCTGCTAGAGCTGCACTGACAAAATATAAAGAACAAGTTTTGAAAGGGAGAGGTAATTTCTTTCGCGCTTTTTTTTTTTTTTTTTTTTTTTTTTTTTTTTTAACCACTGCTACAGTACAAAACACCAAGCTTTTGGGCTCAAAAAGCCTAGACCATCATGGCTACAAAAATTACTGCTGCTCAGAGAGTATGTAATTCTGGAGCTCCTTAAGGAAAAAAGCAGTGCGATGCAACATGTAAGTAATAACACAGCTAATATTATGCATTTATGTTATTATATTTTCCTCTGAATTGAAGTTTGGTGCTGCTAAAGAAACTGTTTCCTAATTTTTTAAAATCAGGTTCTCAATGAAAATGAGCCACATGGCAAAACTTCAGATCTTAAAGCCATTCTATTAAGAAGGAGGAAATATAAATTATTTGCAGTATCTTAACTTTTTGCTCTTTTATTAAAATTACTCTGAGCAAATTTTTTGAAAAGTATGCCTTTCAACTGAAAAGAATGATAGTACATATTTTCTATTTTTTTTTTCCCTGAAGGTTATGTGCCTGTGAAGAGAAAACTTTACAGTAGAAATAGCAGTGAAAACAGTAAAGAAAAATATAAAATTATGGTGTTGCTGATACCACTTCTCTGTACTTAGATTATGTGTAGTTTTGCCCTAAAATAATTCTAGTTATTATTTTTCACCCATTTTTCCAAAGCTAATATAAAAATAAGATGTAGAAAATATTCTGTCAATATTCTCTGATACACTGTTTCTGTGATACATGGTATTCTTTAATATGAATAGGACACTACTTTCAGATATCATTCCTAAGATTTATTAAGATTTTTAATGAAAGTGAAATTTTTACATCCCCTAATATCTAGTACTTGCTCTCAGGTTCCATTCTTAATGCATATAGGCCCCAGTTCTGCACAGACTGAAATCTGTATGATTATGTGTAAGCACACTGAGTAGTTCTCTTTCTTATTATGCTCTTGTGTTTCGGGCTTACAAAGCTAATAGTGACATTACACAATCATTATTCTCAGAATTACTTAGGACTGCATGAAGTTTAAGCCTAATGTAATATTCTTAGTTTACACCTTCTATCCGTTTATCTTGAATAATGCACAATTACGATAATTTATGGATCAGAATGGGTAAATATTTAACTGAGAATTAGAACAAGTGAGAAAGGCAATTGCTGTAGTGTAAAAATCCGTGTCAGAGGAGGTGGCTATTGCATTCTTTAGCTGTAGCATCTGGGAGGGGATCATCAGTGTTTCCTCAGTGACTAGCCAAGCCAAAAAGTCACAGCAGGAACACAGCTGAGAACAGAAGGAAAAGAAAGGGATTTTGAGCCTCACCAAAAATAATGTCAACCTTTTAGATCAAATTTCCATCCCAAGGAAATTGGACTCATCAGACTGGTGGATGTCTTGTCTGCTGTGGAAGCAGATATGAGGCTAAGCTGCAGTTTTTATAATCAACTCCTTTCTTCATGCAGTTCTCATTACAGCACTATCTGAAAACCTCCTCATAGTGCCTGTCCTGTATTACAGGTTCTTCTCCTCAGAGAGTGCCATTAAATTGTCAGAGAATCTCCTCATACAGTAAGAAGTGACATGACCAGCATTTGTCATATTATCTGCTCTTTTGTTGCCAAGGGAAGGAGCATGTGCAATTGAATGTTTTCAGTTTATTGTATCTGTCTTTTCTTCCATACACATTATGTCTTTATGTTAGTGAGGTAAGGCTGAAGTAATATGTTTTGTTCTTCAAGCAAGGTGCAGTTAGATTTCTGATGGCCCTTAGTTCTTAGGCAGTTTCATTCATTAGACTTTCACCAACCCCGAGAAAGTTCTGTCTGTAGAACTTCCAGCTTTTTCTCCCAGTTCTTGCATAGGTTCTCTTATGTCAGAAGAGGGAAACTGTTGCCAACTGGATCCAGTCTAGAGACCTAGAAGGCACTTCTTTTAGGAATCCTGGGTTTATGCCCTGGAGAATCCCAAGCCCCTGAATTTGTGAATTAAATGTCTAGAGAAAATCAGTGTAAAGAAGGCCTTATAATAACCTACATTGCTAACATGACATCCCCCCCAACTTCCTGTACTTGGAATTTCCTATATGCAGTGGGCTTTGTGCTTGGATATACTGGATTGCTTAGATCCAGCTGAGAGGTGGCAAAACCAAAGCAAGGCACTTGTCTGCTGAAATGACACAGAAGCTCATAGATAGAGATGGTTAGAAAGCTGGAGGCTGTCTTCTGGCTCAGGCATGCATTGCTTTACAAATTACCTTGCTATGTGTTTTTAAGATTTATTTTACAACTGTGAGGATTAGAGGAATTTGTTGTAATGAAAACTGGCGTTGTGTCATTACTGTGTAACTTTTTAGTTAGATTATTTGGCTTGCCTGGGCTCTTGCACGTTATTCTATTTCATCTGGGAAGTTCCTAGGTAAGTTAGACCAATTAAGGGGCACTAAGGCACACCCACATGATTATAATAATTGCACACCTACATATTGTTTTGGTATTCAGTGTTTGTATTGTATATGGACATGTAGCCAGTGAAAATTTGAAATTTTTTCCTACTTGTTTTTTCTAATTTCAGCCCTGCCTTGCCCCTGATGCTCATCCATCCTTCTAGATCCTTGTTACAGGTTCATCTAAGCCTCCCTTCAGGCCTCCCCTGTAAATTTCATATCACTTGAAGTTTAAAGTGTCAGTTTAATAACCTAGTAACTGTAGTTGGGCATCCTCCTTCATGTGTGTTTTACTTTCTGCTGTAGCCATTCAGTCTCTATTTTATCCTGACAAACACAGGATTTGAAATTCATTGCTTTTGCAATTTTAGTCTGCTTGCAATGATAGAGGTTGTAATCTAGAAAGGACTAAAGTGGACAGCATTTACCATTGTACAATGAAAACAGGGTTTTGAATTTGCCAGAATAAATCTGGTCTAAGGATGCTTCTATAGACTGCAAGGACTGCAAGAAGTATGTGCTGGCTTAGGACATGCATATACTTTATTAGATTTCCTATGAACTTCCACATGAAAAATAAAATTAGCTGTTTTTCTTTTACCTCCTTATTTTTCAATAGCAAAACCATTTAGATATTTTAAGCCACTAAAATACTCAATATAGCATAAAGACTAGTGGTGTAGTCATCAAAAGGTTTGGATTTCTATGTTTTGATAGCATCTTATAGTATTGACTCCTACATATATATAGGCCTGACTCATAATAACTAACTTATCCCTGAGGATTTAATAAAGGAGTTGGTATTAAACTTAGGTTCTGTGGTAAAGTTTTGCTTAAATGGTCTAACCTAAACATTTTAATATTTTTGTGGATTTGATGGTTATGAAAAGTTCTGTCTTGGTATCTGTGAAAACTGAAGCCCATTCTTTTATTCATGGATTCATTACAGCAGAACAGTGGCTAAGTGATCTTCTCCACAGCAGCCATGAACTTCAACCTTGAACTGAAGAAGACTCATCAAATGGTGAGAAAAAAGTGTGGTTGTCATGACTATTAAGTTAGGGATGCTCTATTATTTTTTCCTGTTTAGCACTGATTATTTTATTTTATAGGTATTGAAGTTAGATTTTTGTCAGGTGATTTCTGGGACTGTAACCTAATTTTTCCTCCACATCCCGTATTTCAGCTGTTAATTTTTCAAGCTTTGCTTTAGTCCTTGCTGTCCTTAACTTCAAAAATAATTGTTAGTGATACACTGAATTCATTAGTTAATTTATTTATCACTTTTTTTTAGCCTTAGTCCTGTGCCTAACTCTGTCCACATGATTACTTTTATCAGTAGTACTACTTAGAAGAGTGAAGTTCAGGATATATGAAGCTGTTTGAAAGACTGAAGTTTAAATTTTACAGATGTGAATGCCTGCAACTAAATGAAATGCTGCTGAAATGAATGCAGGAGTGGGGGATCTGAAAGTGCTTTTAGCTAGTATTAGTTTGTTTTCTCTTTTGCATACAATTTTTTTTCTTTTAAGACTGAAAGATGCAAGATGTTAATTTGCTTCTCTAATTTCCCAGTTTCTGGAAAATTTTGAACTCTGAACTTCACAACATTTATAAAGTTTTAGTAGTGTTCATAATTCTTCTGAGAAGAACAAAACATTAATTTGTTTAGCCATTTTGTGAAAAGGTGACTGAATATAGAGGAACTATTTCTCTTTTTATTTTACTGCCTTGATCAGGTCTTTAATCCTAGTCATAAGAATCACTAGGTAACGATTTTTATACGTATGGGTTTATTAAGCATAGATCTTAAAACAATGAGTTTCCTTTCTTTTAGAGCTATAAATAAAGGATGTAATATTGGGAGCAGGGACTTGCTTGTGTAAGAATATAGTTGTTAAGTGTTGTTGACTTCCTGATAATTTAGATAGGTGACAGTTTAAAATGACGGTGCACAGATTGATCCATAGCTCAGGAGATGGATCACAGTGACCAGAAGTTCAAAGAATGCTGAGAGATGCCCCAGACCTTTTTGGTATCTCAGCAAATCGATTTTTGTTTCCCTTTAGCAACCGTATTGTAGAGTGAGGAGTAAAAGGGACAGAACCCTGTTAGTGGCTTATGATTTCCACAGTTTAAACCTCTTGGAATACGGGATATTTACCCTGTCTCAGCTGTTTACCAGACTGGGTTTGGAAGCACAAATATGTTTAAATAGCCAAGAGAGATGCTGAGCGCTTTATGCCAACACCTGAGCTACGCCCTGTGTTAAGAATTACTTTAGTACTGTTATCAACCACTAAACTTACTTAACCTTTGCCAAGGTTCTTTACCATTTCATGTTTTAAAAACAAGGTTTAATACTTAAACCAGAAAGAAGCTGCAGTTTTCAGGCACAGTGCATTGAGATGTAACCAAGTGGTCATTTATTTTTAATACAGATTCAACAATCATTTTCTTTGTTCTTTCTCAGCCATTTATTCTTTAGTTTTCTTTTAGAGAGCTGATTCTTGAATTAATTTTGAGCATTTAACTGTCTGCATTCTCTTTATCAGTTAATATTGCATTAAAAATCCTTGCATGGGTGTGGGAGAGAAGAGTCTGAACCCACATTAGTCCCTTGCATCTTGTATTGACTTTGCCTATCTGTTAACCAATGGGCTGGATCCCGACCAGCACCAAAGTGTGAGTCTGGGTGTTATTAGTGTAAGGAGCTGAGGCTCAGTTTTGAATCTATTTTTGACACCACAGACCTAGCGAAAGATAACAATGGGATGTAAATTGATTTCCACGTTTAAGCCCTTCTTTAGTTGCTTAGCTGAGCAGAGTTTAGCTACCCCAAATGCTTAAAGTTAAATGGTTTTAAGGTTCTCTTGAGGCATTTTGTGAATTGATGTAATTCTTTCACTTCAACAGAAGAGGTAGGCCAATGTCAAACTGTTTTGAAACGCTTGTTTTCATTACCCTGCTTAGAATATGACTTTGTTTCTTTTGTTCCATCCCCATTTGACTGAATCACTTTCACTTCCCTGATTCTTCTTATACCTTTTGTGTCCTTCTAACCTTTCCTCTAACGTCCAGCTTTCTGTTAACTTTTCCACACTGATTATTCTTTGTCTCTCTTCTTTTTTTACTGGAGTTTTAGAGAGGTCATTATACTTTTTCAATTTCTTTCCTTCCTTCATCCTGGAATCCAGCAACATATAAACCCCTCTGATTTCAAGTTTGCCTTTTTAGTGAGAAATACACAAATTAAAAACACAAATTATAGTAGTGCTGTATCAATAGAAAGGGTAAACAGAGCATTGTGGATGCTATTTATAGAAAAGGAACTGGGTTTTACATATTACTAAAAACTCTTCCCTAATTTTGGATATCAGGATCCAGGCAGTAAGATCAGGATGTTAAGGTGATGCTTTAAAAATCACTATGCTTATTCTAAAAAAAAAAAAAAAAAACTAAAAAAACCAACCAACCCAACCAAAAAACCCACAAAAGTACAAGTATGCTGAATAGACTGATTAGACTTGATGTGGCTGTTTTATTGAGCTGTCTATCATTGAACTTTTTTTAAGCCTTAAGAAAGACAGTATGGAGGTGGAAGAGAAGCATGGATCTCCATGAAGGGCAGTCAGTTATAGTCATGGTAAGTTAAAAAAAATACTGTATTTCTGTTAAATTTTCACATTTACGATCAACCTGCCTTCAGGGCCCTGTTCACCTTGCAAAATTAATCCAGCTTTATTGAAAGTCTCTACATTCTCTGGATTAATTTCTGCTATCACTGCGTAACAATTGTGCTCTGTTGTATCTGACTTTGTGGTGTAACTCCTGAATGAAAAAAATAACTGACATAAAAACCATTATTATCACAGTGATTATGCTACAGTTTTTTCATGCCTACATTCTGAACAAAACAAGATATATAGGATTGTGTTATGACCTAATAACTTTCAAATCCACTGCTTAATTTCGGCTGCATTTGATATAGAGGTAGAGGTCACAAAGTCAAGTTTCTGCAATTTGAATGAAATTTAGCAGCTGTGAGTAGAGACAGGACTCAAATTAGTGCCCCTGGGGTAGAAAAAGCTGTAGCATGGACTCAGAAATTTTCTGTTCTCTTCAACCTGTTGCCTTGCAGGTCAGCATGTTTGGTTGATCTGCCAGTCTACACATGTAGCTCAGACCTTGCCACAGTGTGAGCTGCCTCCTGTTCTCCTAAACGTCAGAAGCTGAAATTCAGAGAAATCTGTTTAGAAGGGAATGGGAAAACAGCCAGGCTAGCTTCGGCACAAGAGTGTTGGTGGCACCTGTAAGCATGCAGGTAGGTAACTAGACTTCATTGTTTCTGCTAGTCATGAAAAAGCCTTGGTTTTGCCAGGACCAAAACACTTGTGAATCATTCCATGATATGGTGTTTTCTATACCTGGATTAAAAAAATGTTTTTCTTGTCCATGTCAGAGAAGGGAACTGTTGAGACAGCTTCAGTATTTAATTTCTTTGGCTATTTGCACGTTAGGTCTGAGCTATTTCTTAGGCTGTCAAAATTGTAAAACTGTGTTTTCAGCTCTCTCCAGAAACTGACTGTAATTTAGACTGCAGCTATGTGTCCCTGACCCATCCTACAACCTATTCTTTTGGAACAGTGCAGAAAATAAGCATTGTATTCCAATATACTTCCTTTATGAAGAAAGATGTGGCACTAGATACAGGGAGAGAAAACAGTATTAGGATCAGGCTTCATCAAGTCACCACACTGTACTGCAACTTGAGAAATGCTAAATATGTAGCTGTGTGATTTTGTCACCAAAATCGTTCTGAAAGGTCTTTTCTGCTCATTCATCCTAGTAATGAGAAATGGGCAGATTACAATTGCCAGAAGTGCTGTGTCACTCACTGTACAGGCTCAGGTAGGCACACTAACTTGGCATATGTCTGATATTTTTAAATTTTCTGTGTTATGTTAGATAGGGGTCAAGATACAACACTCTTTAAACAGAATTCAGTGCTGTAGCATATTTAAAAGTGGTTGAATTTCTCAGAATAACAAGCCTAAGAGTCATGCATATGAAATGTAAAATTTGAAAGAAGTAACATGAGAAGAAACACTTTCAGTTCAGTATCATAAGGTAACTGTCTTGAAATGTCAAATTTTGTTTGCCCAGTCGAAAACCATCAACCTGGCAGCAAGGAACAAAAGCTTGTGATACTCTTTTCCACTTTCTGTTAATTTTCATAGTTTTTTTTTTTTTTCACAAAATCAAAGCCAAGAACAGAACAATTAGTCATTAAAAAAAACCAAAAACCCTCGAACAAACTGCATTCCATTTTATGAATCTTTTGGGTTGTCAGATTCTCAAATCCTTTCATTTGGTCCCAGCTTTTTTGTTTATTTTGTTTTAAGTATTGTTGTTTCTGCAGAGCTATCTGTATTAAAGGAATGTAAAAATGGTTTTTTCATGTTTCCAGGATCTATTTGTTCTTAAAACCTTTATCACCAGTAGTCTTGCCTAGTATCACCGGTTAAATATGTCACCAATTTAATGTTACTTAATGGAACTATGGCTAACTGGATTTTAAATGGTTATAATATATAAAAATATTGTAATATATATTGTTTTCCTTTTAAAGATCAACCTAGATGTGTTTTTAGTAAGAAGAGTAAAGTGAAATAATGGATGTTAAGTTTTGTGTGAACAACAAAGTGGTGGTGTGTTGTTTAACACCATGTTGTGTGCTTCCTCTGTTCTAAATGGTGTTCACAAAGTCTTGAAACTTAGCAAAGTTTATCATAAGGATTATTTGTTTTAAAAAGCTACCACTTTTTGGTCTAAAATTACTAATTCTGAACTGCTTTTCATTATGTATTTTTGAAGACTTCAGTTGTGGATGCTACGATATGTAGTCAGATACTTTCACAGTCATGAAGACCTCAATAAATTCACAGTCCTATGCTGCAGCCCTAAAATGGATGTTGTGGGACAGATTTTTAAGGTTGAAGCACTGAAAAGTGACTTGCACAATAGACCTAAGAAACTAGGATAATTAATTTTTAGAAAGTGATAATTAAAAAATTATATTTCAAGTAATATCAGTAAAAGCTTTCATAATGTGCTGTCACTACATGTAAAATTCATAAGCAATTTTAAGCCAACATTCTTTAAAGAAGGAGCTAAAAATTCCTATAAAAATATATGCAACTTAAAGATGTATGGAACTCCTTTATTATGTGCTAAATGCTGTAATAAAACAGGCTATCAGTAGGTTTTGCTGCATGTTACTAATTTTATTTTTTTTTAATCTTGGTATTTTTGCAGGTGTGTGGAGGAACAGGTCCTGTTCTCGCTGTTGTTACTCCCACATAGGCAGACTCTGTAATTGATTATGTGTGGGTAGGGCCCTATTGAAATTCAGGAGATTCTGCAGTAGTGCGGGGTTCTTTTTGTGAAAGTTCAGTTGCAAGATCAGGACCCTACTGTGACTCCTTACTGTGCATTCTGTCACTGTCTCATTGATTGTACTGGAACCTGCTTATTGAGATAATGTAAGTCCTGCTTTTCCCCCACTTGTACTTTGGATGTGAATTAATCATAAAACATTTCTAATTAGAAAATTAGTATAATTTACATGCATTCTTTTAATTATGTTTTTTTGGCAGTACCAAATACTATATTCCTCAAAACTTCTTAATGGCACTGAGGCTTTGTGGATAGTTGGTCACATGATGAGAAAATTCAGCTGTAAGTACATTGAAATGATTGACTCTTTCAATAGTTAGTCTTTACTGATGTTGGCAAACTAATAGTGATAAAAATGTGAATCAAGAGGTTTGACTTATGTCAAATTACTTCAGTTCTTTTTAGAAAATATACACAGTATACCCGTTAAGGATTTTATTATTCTTAGGTAATTCACCATGGGACCCTGAAGTTATTCCCTACTGCAATTATGTAGGGAGTTCAGAGTTGTTTGTTTTCTTTATTTTCAGAATGGTGTGTCTCTGACTTGCTGTGTGTTTTGACGGATAAACTTTTTGAAATTTATAGATCTATAAAAACTGTTTATACCACTAATATCTGTATAGATATTGCAAACTGATTTACTAACATAATTGTCTTGCTCGGTTGAATACTGAAATGTTAATAAATATACACTTACATTTGTGTCAGTGTACCTTGGTTAAATTAAACTGAACTGGCATTATGAGTGAATTTGATCATACATGCTGATTAGCTATAGTCTTAGGCAGGAACTACATATTACCCATACCATATGTCAGTGGATTCACCCAAAAATAGCTACAAAAAATCTGTGCTTGGGTTAAGGAGGAAGTTCTTTTCCTGTAGTTATGGGTACAGTCATTGCTTTGACTCCTGTTTTTATACACAAATGAGCAAAATCTACATGTAGGTGTTTTCCCTGTATAACAAAAGGGACACTGTAAACTCTGTGCCCTTTTTTATGATGTTGTATTTCCTTTCTGGTATTTAAATTCAAGGATGTTTTCAGCTGTGTCTTAATACAAAAAAAAAAGGAAGAATTGGAAATGTTACTGAATTTGTGGATAATTACTATGGGACTGTAAAGGTCTGGAGGAATTGTGTGTAAGGACAATTAGAGATTCTTTCTCATGGAGCAAGGACACAAATTGTAATTGATGAGTAAAGGTTAAGGAGGACAGGATTATTTTTATTGCTTGGCACAAGAGCAGCATGAAATGAAGGTAATTTGAAGAAAGAGCAAGAGCAAAAGAGAAATCAGACTCAGATCAGAGAAATCAGACTAGAGAGTCCAGTTAAAAAAAAACCCAACAAACAACAAAACCCCCCAAAACAAAACCAAAATACTTAATATGGGTTTGAAAAATATACCTGAGAGGAGAACTAAATGGATAGCTACTAGTATTTTTAATTGCACTGAATGTTTGTTAGATTTCAGTTTAAAATTTTCAGTAAATGCTTTTCTTGAAGTTTTTTGTTTTCTTCGGCTGGAGAGGAGTAGAAGAACTTTGGAGTGTTAAAGAAGACTCAGTGGCTACTTGTGAATTACAGTATGAATTGGGGATTCAAGATGACAGTTACAACTAAGAAGAGAAGACAATGGGTTGCTTATAAAATTAGTGCCAAGCAGAAGCCATAATTTCTTGTTCAAACACAAAACTTAATGACTTTGAAATGTATCACCTTCAACAGCGCTCAAACCACAATTTTATTATGTTAATTATGGCATGAGTATTTTCAGGGTTCTCGTTTAAAAACTTGAACACTTAATCTTTTGAGATTTTGCAATATAAAATGAAATTGAGATTTTTCAATATGAAACGAAGTCATGATTTCATTTCAGAAACTGAAATGTTTCAGAACACTGAGTGTTTCATTTCGCATAAAAAAATCCCGATCAGCTTATTTTGTTTTTAAAATGTTTAGACCTAATTGTTTGCTGTTTTCACCTTTTAATCCTATTGGCCATATATCTATTTTACTTGCAGTAAGTTGGGTGAAAGAAAGGAAAACAGAATTAGATTAGGTGATTTCAAAAAAAACCCCTAAAGACAGCCTTCTAACTGAGCCTCTAGATGAGAAGTGGCTCAAAACAGATCTAATTTCAGAGGAGGAAAGGAAGGAAAGTGACATGCCAGTGACGGGGGTCTGGGGAATCCTCTGCATGTTTCATCTCTGATTTTTTCTCTCATCACCACTGAGAGACAGATCACCTGGGTGTGACTGCTTCCCCTTCCTGTGATTGCAACTTCCCAGTACTTTGAGGGAGATAATGTTGGGGCATAATTCTGTTCTGCCTGCAGCAGTGCTGCTACAAATGTTCAGAAGAAAAGGAGCTCTGAATTGCCTCCTGCTGTAACCAGCTCTCCAATACTCACTGCTGCTTAGCCCTGTTGTTGAGCACCTGATCTGATGGTCTCTTTCATGATACTATAAGTGACGGAAATGAAACCAGGACCAAAGCAAGAAAACAGATATCAAGAAAAGGAGATGATGTTTTGGATCAAGAGAAGGAGATGATGTTTTGGAATGTAGGGAGTGGGCATTTGCTGCACAGCTACACTTTTTCAACTCTTGAGAAGACCTCAAGAGCTGAAATACCAAACTACAGCAACAGAGTAAGTTTCCTTCTGTGCACTGAGAAGGAAGGGCAAAAGAATGTGCCTGAACATTCAGCATGTTAATTGTAAGTCTTGAGGTCTCTTCCCCTACTGCTGTTTGCACTCTGCTTGTATCGTGACTGTCCTGAATGTAACATGTCTTTATTTGTATCGAATGAGGCACTCCTCACATTGTAATGTCAGGAACATTCTTTTTCTTCCACCCTTGGAAGTCAAAACATGGTAACATAGATAGTTGTAACAACTTAGTAATAAATGTGACATGAAAGAATTTTCTCATTCGCAGTACTTGTAGGAAAAACAATGTTTCCTGTGTTTCAGATACCTCTTATTTTCCAATCCTAAGCAGATTTAATGCATGAAAATTTCCTTCAGCAATGCCCTCTGTTTCTTATTTGCAGTTACAACTATTACTTTTTTGTTAGTAGGCTTTCTTGTACTTACGTTGATGCCCTCACAAAACTTCTCTGGACCCTTTATGAATGACACCATCATGGTGTCATTTGTTTTGTCATAAAATCTACTGTAAATCTGAATTTTAGGAATCTTTTTCCAATCCTTAAATGATGATTATTCTTCTCTGTCAGCAGGTTTTTCATAGATCAAGTCTTTATTAGAAAATCTTTTACTTTGCCTTGACAAAATGCAGCCTTGCCTTGCTCCTTAGCTATCAAAGTGCTGCTCTACTGTAATACCGTTTTCCAAACCTACTCCTTTGCTATTTTCAATTTCCTGCTTAATTTTAAAGCAATAAAGATAAGCTATCTATCTTTATTTTCAAGGCTCATCAGGACTACTTCCACCTGATACCTCTTCTTCAGTATCAAGAGGTTGACTCTGGTTTTGATCAATGTATGATGCCAACTTCCATCATTTGGTCATTAAATTTTCAGACCACACTGAATATTTTCTCCTCAGCTGTATTCGTTGACTTCTTCATAAACAGAAGTGTTCATTATCTTCCCTCTAATTTTTTCTTGAAAGTTTTATGTACTGTGAAGCTTTAAGCAATACAACTATACAACAGTTATGCTGCAGGTGTATTAATGCCAATGCCTATCACAGTAATACTGTGTCATTGCATTTGGATTCTGCCATAATCCTTCTGTTGTCTCTTTATGTAAAATTTAAGCATATCTATATTTTGTTGTGTATTTATTCACGGCCCAGTGTAACACAAAGTGGCTCATGGTGAGACCTTCCAAGATTTATGGTAGTACAGATAAATAATAATGAATACACACTGGCTGTTGCAGCATAGCTGTTGGAGTCTGTTGTGCCTAATGCCACTTCATAATTTAATGCAGAAAGAAGGTGCTCCAACCAGAGGCCTCACAAGCGGAAAATAAGTGAGTTGCACCCAATAGAAAAAATGCCAGCCCCAGAGACCTTCTCAGCTGTCAAACTCAAGCCTGTAGCTATTGCCATTTTGTCCTGGAAGCATTCCTCTCCTCTCCTCTCCTCTCCTCTCCTCGAACAGATTCTCCCTTCTCATATGAGGAAGTAAATGCAAATATCACAAAGGTCTGCAGTGTGTGCAGAAGGTCTTATACATTTGTAGCAGACCTCATGTATTTAATTCCTGACATGGCATCTCTTGGTACAGAAATCTTGAATAACCATAATTGTGCCATTCATCACTCCTTTTTTTCAAATGCCATTTGATCTCTGTTGAGAAGGAACCTACACTGGTTTTTATTTGGTATCTTGGCACATCCCTATCTCATAATGCTCTGCTTCCATTGTGCTTCAAAAGTAATGAGTCTTCAGAAAAGTGGTAAGGATTAATTCAATTGGGAATTCCCCAGGTATGTCACCCTCTTTCTGTAAGTGGGTCTGCATGTAACCCTTTCTTTTAAAGGCACACTGAAATGTCAGTGTTTAGATTGTACAGAGCTGATGGAATGTTGAGTGCCTGACTGATTGCAGAGATGGTAGATTGGACTGTGCAGACACATGTTGCAGTAGGTACCAAAGAAAATATAGTCCAATAATCTAATTTTATCAGAATAAACCACAAAATGTTGTTCTATATGGTTCTATGGCTGAGTAGGAGAACTTTAGTAAGAGCTGTGGGCTAGTTGGTGAGGTGGAGGTGAAATACTGTGGGAGTCTGGGGAGTCTGTACAACCCAAAAGCTTGATCATAGCAACAGTTCTTGGTTATATATGTGTAGACTGGATAAACTTAATGTTAGGCTCATTAGGCTGTCATGCACAGGCTGTGTATTTAGATATCCCTGAGCAGTAATTATTGAACAAACAAGATAGGGAATCCAGAGCCCTTGACTTAGTCTAGATCAACATGCAACAAATGACTGTGGAAGAACCATTCACTAGTGAGATAGCATACTCAAGTGTGTCGTACTTGTGGGAGAAAAAAAGATTAAAATAAATTTTTTTAAAAGTCCAGTATTGTTTAAAAAAAGAATTGTACACTAATGAAGACACACTAAATAAATATTAAAAATACATGGGGGCTTTGTTTTCTGGTTCTAACCTGATTAAATAAGACTTTTCCAACACAGTTCAGCAGTAAAAGAAGCTACTAGAAATAAATAGAGGTTTTTAAAAAAGCAAAATCCAAGCAAGCAAAGCAGAAAAAAGCACAATTCTGGCAAGTGTAGACCTAGTATGAGGCAGAACAAAAAGATTTTTAAATGCAATGGCCTAAAATTGTAAAAGCCAAACCCCATCTTTTTCCAGTGTAAATTTTGCTAGGTGGGAGGTGAGGTTAATAGATAGTTGTGGTTAAGGAGAAAGACACAGCCATTGCAGAAAGAAATTGAACACATTTCTGCTGGCAAGGTTTATGACAGGATGATTAGGGACATCCCCAAATAGGAGTTGTTTTTATAGGGAGTAGTTCAGGATTGATATCTCAATACAGGGTTTTTAAAGAACTTGATTGAATACACATTAATAAATTGCCCAATAACATGCTGTTCATTCAGTAGTCCTAGAAAAATTCAGAAATTAAATTGAGCATGGTGAGCAAACCATGAACTGTCTTGTGTAATCTGGTACTTAAATTAGCCTTGATAACAGAGGAATGGAAAGTAACAAATGTGACCCTAGTTTTGAAAAGGGTTTTAGGGATGGTCATGGACTAATGGACTAAAAAGTCAGGCCATCATGACAGACAAAATGGCAGTGATTTTGATAAAGTGTACTGTTTATAGGATGAATGGTGAACATGGATAGGTGTGATAGCAACCATCATGCCTTTTGTACAAGTAGTTTTGTCTTAGAGTTTTTCTAGTTATTTGAAAGAGTCATTTCCAGATGCACAGGAAAAAGTGACCCAAAAGTTTTTTAAAAGTTCTGTAACTGAAGACTGTTAACAAAATGAAGTACAGAACTAATGGGGAGTTTTAACACTACCTCTTCATGGAGATTTGTACTGGACCTTTGCTGGTCCACCTGTTCCTAAACAGCCTGGAAAAGTGCAATTGTAAATATTGCAGATGATAAAAGGAAAACATTCACGGTTGGAGGCAGACCTAATGTTGACCCTGAAGAGCTGCAGAAGGATCTCACAGCAGGACTGTGGTGATCCAGGAGCTGTGGCTGTCACAGTGGCCAGATATCGCTGACCCCACTGTTCAGCTGAATCCATCATCAGAGAGCGGCAGTGGCTGTTGGATTACAGCAGCCATCCGCCCATAAACCGTGAGCTCAGCAGGCTGTGACCAGTCCTGCCACTCAGGAAGGCAGGGACTTGTAGCTGTTCTTTTTAACAGCAGGGGCTGCAAAATGGAGAGAAGGTTCTTTCTCCCTGTTTTCTCAGAGTTTCATAACCCCAACGAGCTTAAAGTGTGTGTTGTGAACTTGGAGTTCCTGCCTGCTACACGGTTGAAATATTACTGTTAAAGTGATAGGTAATGTCTTGCTGCTGCTCTGAGAAGCCAGGGCTCTCAAGCCACTTCACTGGTGTTTGCATGGATTTTTAGCAGCTTCTGTTAATTTCTTAAAATCATTCTGGATCTGTAAACAAAAGTTTGTTGTCCTCATTGATTGATGATAAATTTTTAAACATTAATCAAGTGTATACAGTTCCCATTTACTTAAATCTGTAGATGTTTTTTTATTGTTCCTTTTTCTAGCAGTAGCAATATTATGGATGTGCAGGTCAGTTTTACTTCTACTGTTCACAAACCTGCGGGCAATGGCAAATGCCAGTTTGCTGCTACTTCAGAAGCTAAAAGCAGGCCCTAAAATGAATCCCAGGGGAAATCAGATAAAGAAGCAGAAATATTTCATGCAGCAACCAGAAGGTCTGGAGGGAGGGATGGAGTAGAAGATATCATTGTACCTTTACAACAGCTGGAATGGTTTCCAAGCTGTTGTCTGCAAATCCCTAGTGGACTCCAAGGCTATGGTGAATTGAACATCTGTTTGGCTAAACCATAACTGTGCTTTAAATAGTGTTTCCGATTAAAAGTTTGATCAGATGGGTGTGTGGTGGCTTTTGAAAATTGCTAAGGACTGATAGTGATCTGTTGCTCAAAACAAAGTGGGAACTGATGTTCTGGAGTGTATGAAAAATTAGAGAGCACTCCCTACCTTCTCAGTTTTAGGTACATGGCATTCTCTTCACAAGAAGCAACAGCAAGAGGTGCCCTTTCTGGTGCCCATCACACCTTCCCCACTATCAGAAGTATGGGGTTCTGAATCATCGTATTGCCTTTGCGTATCCCTGAAATTCTTCACTAGTCCTACTTTTCATATATATTCCCAAACAGTAGGTTTCGTTTTCTGGTAAGTAAGTATGATTTTTTAAGTCTTGGGTCCTCATCTGACAAAAAATAGACTTGTCACCTCCTCTAGACTACAACATATATCCTTCTTAAAATTAAAGCCTGATTTCTCATTGCCAGAAAAACAGATTTTAGAATTTTCCATTCTGTCATTATTAATGGGCATAAACTTTCCTTACAATTACTAGCATGTCTTATTACCCATTTGTTACTTTTTCAAAATACCAATTGTATTTGACCAACTTCTTTTATTTCCCTGAAGGATAATTTTACATTGTAAAAAGCTCCTTTGTCCTCATATCATGACTCTTATTACTTTTTTCTTACTATTGAAAATTTTCCAGCATCATAAAATATTTATATTATCAGTGCTTTTACTTGCCCTTGACACAGTTTACTTCCCATTGTCCTGAGTACCATACAAGCACATCCATAAGTAATCTGCAGAGATGTTAGCTTTTCCAGCCTTCTGTGCATATTTTGTTAGGAATTGTGGTGATGTCAAGTTTGAGGTACACTAAACTATAAGCTCTATTCAAACGGTATAAATATGTTTATCTTAAAAAAAATCTTAAAGAAATAATTTTTCTGATCTAAAATCATGTAATGTATTGTATGAAATTTAAACAAAATGCTAGAAACAAATACTGACAATAGTTTTTGTAAAAGGATAAAGTAAGTTGACAGGTGCTCTGTTTAACCTTTTTATTTTTTATTTTTCTTATTCATGTCTTTTGATACAAATGTGGAAATAAGGGGAGCTGTACTTGTTTTTATGTTATCTTGCTAGCTTACATGATTCTGCTATTGTCTTTGGTCAGGCTTGAGCTACAAGCTGAATATGAGACTGAGGGGAATCTTTGCCTTGTATCAAAAAGCAGCTTGTAAGGAAGCTATACTGTGGGAAAAGGTGGTTTCTTGAGTTTACCTGTGAGCAACAGGACAGAGGGATTTATGAGTCCAGGCAAGGCATATGGGTATAGAAGCAGTGATGGGGTATATGGTTAGGTCTGAGGATAAGCGCATAAAATGGAGAATTTGGAATAGGTGTCAGAGAAGGGGTTTCAATAAGAGTTGGAAAGATCACAGTTGGATAAATAAACTGGGCTCTGTTGAAAGTCACTTTACTAGAGAACATGGCTGCAGCTCTCTATCTATCTGACTCGAGCTCATGCCACACTTGTCCTAGCTACACCCTTACCTGTCTTCAGGTAAGGAAGGAACCTCAGCTTCTTCTCCAGTTTCTACACATGACCCTTTTAAGTGGAAAAACCTACTTTCCTGCTTACTCCAGGAACAATTACATGCAAAGGTACAAAATGGTCCTATAAATCTTTTACATCTAAAGCTTGTCTTCTGTCCCACTATACTTTCTTCAGCCTTGTGTCTGTGGAGTTCTGCACTGCAGATGCAGATGGACAAAGGAATCACAGAATAGAATTATTTAGATTGGAAAAGGCCCTTAAGATTGTCAAGTTAACTATAAAGCTAACAGTAAAAGTCCACCACTAAACTGTGTCCCTAAGTGCTGTATCCACATGTCTTTGAAATGCCCTGGACAGCCTCTTCTAGTGCTTAACAACCCTCTCAGTGAAGAAATGTTTCCTAATATCCAATCTAAACCTTCTCTGGAACAACCTGAGGCCATTTCTTCTTATTCTGTAATTGGTTACTACCTGGGAGACGAGACCAGCCCCCACCTGGCTCCACCCTCCTTTCAGGCAGTTCTAGAGAGCGATAAAGTCTCCCCTGAGCCTCCTTTTCTCCAGACTGAACAACCTCAGCTCCCTCAGCTCCTTCTCATAGGACTGGAGATCCAGACCCTTCCCCAGCTCCGTTGCCCTTCTCTGATGCTCCAGCATGTCCATGTCCTTGTCGCGAGGAGCCCCAGACTGAGCACAGTACTGGCAGCATGGCCTCACCAGTGAATACAAAATGATTCAAATGAGATGCTGTGGAAAGCTGGCTGCACAATGGTAATGCTTCTCCTTTACAATGCACAGTTGGCATCTTCTCCAAATGGGACGTGTCCCATCATTTGAGATCTGCAATTCATTTATTCCTTTTTCCCCTTCCTATATAACTCATAAGAACATGATGGAGTTTTTCCACATGATGAATTATGACTTTTAGATAGTGTTTGTCTTACTAAGCAGTGGGGAAAAAGTCTTGAATTTCTAAAGCCTGGTCTCTTTGATTTGCATTTTTCTGTGGTCTATGATCTTCCTAACAATAAATTAATCCAGTGGATTATTACACCTACTGGTGTTAAATTGAAACTTATGGACAGTGGGATTGCTTTTTATAATTATTATTTTGCAAATCCCTAAAAAGTTGTTCATGAAGACTAAAGAGTCTGCAGAAAGACTGAAAGCAATGTAATAGGACATCCCCTTAAATGAAAAGGTTTTTTTTAAATGCAATGGGGTTTTTTTGGCACTGGTCTTTTCATAAGTCTTCAGCTTTTATTTAACAGTTTTCCTTCTCAATATTGATTATGATTGCATACTTATGCCTATGACTAAACTTAGCTAACAAGATACATGATTTCTGCTCAAGTTTGGAACTCAGTAATTAATAATCCTGTCAGCACATGACTATACAAATAGATTATGTACCAAGATCACCACAACAATAGTAAAAAAAAAGCGCTTTTGGGGTGGAAGATGTTGGTTGGTTTGGGTTTTTTTCTAAGAGGGTACATTATTTTAAAAGGAAACTATTTTTGTGTTTCTCTCTTGATTGGATTTCTATACTGGATATAGATATCATTCTTTTAGTTAGTCAACATTGGTCCCTAAAAGTTTGCTTTACTTTTACGGTTTGTCGTATGTCATTTTATCTTTAAAGACTGCCGGAGTTCATGATTCCTGAGAAGTAACACCTTGAAGTTCTGGCACTATCTTCTACAAAGTAACTTACACTGAGCTGGCTTCCTGTTACTGTGTCAATGAAACATCAAATGTTGATACTATGTGTGAAACAACATTTGATATTATGGCTGTTAAGCTCCTTGAAAAAATACTATACAGATGGATTTTGTGTTTGCAAGACCTGGCATTTAAAAATCTATGTCATGGATGCAGGTAATAAATGTTGTTTATTAATTGTTACAGGATAGAAAATACTTATATTTGTGTACAAGATGGCAGTCTTAGCTCTTGCTATTTTTATCTCCTAAATAGCTAATAATAAGATGGTTATAAATATTTAAAGACATGAATCATTTAATTTGTTGAAGCATTGTGTGCATCATTTAGAATGGCACTAAAGGAGAGAAGTGGACATGTCATAACAGCTAAACATGAAAAGAAGGTAGCAGAGATAATGATATTGTTCAAATTTATAGAAATAGTTATGTTTTGCTGTATAAGCATAGCTCTTTACAGAATGATGATCTCATCCTGAGGTTGCAGTTGTCTAAATAGATTCATTGCTGAACTTTATTCTAGTCTTTGCTGGAAGTAAGAACACAAACACTTGAAATTTAAGTTATTGGTCTTTATCCATGCTACAACTTTCAGAACTTGATATTTAACCCCAGGATTGGATCCATAGCTCTTTTAAATTCTGGAATTCCAGAAACTGTGCAGGTGAGTAGGAAAAGGCAAAGGAAGAAACTGAAATGGCGAGAAGGAAATTTTTCTCCTTTACATAAGGAAAGATTAAAAAAAAATTAATGAGCATAGAAGAAATAATAGTATTAGAGGAAGGAGTCAGGTAAGTATGAACAGTAATATTTTTTATATAGTGCTCATATATATTATGCTTTGTGCTTACATGGAAAACAGAGTAAGACTTCAGCTTTCTAACTGCTGTTCTAAGCTGTACTTTACTCCCTGTGCATTTTTATTTTAGCACAGTCACTTCTAAGGAAGGCTTTAAATTGACTTTCAGGGCCAACCTGAATCACAAAATTCATTATCCTGCTGAAATGATGACTACCCCAATGTTTGTCTTCCCAAGTTAGTCTTAAAAAAACCCCTAGCAGACATGAAAAAAATCAAAATAATTTTTAAAATATACGTTTCTGTTAATTCTAGTCACTAGCATTTGTGAAAAGGCACAAGCAGGCACACAGTAATAGTAAAGAGTGTCAGAATTTCTGTGTAAAACTTAATTGTAATAGTACTGAAATTGAAAATAAAACCTGCTAATTAGCTTTTACTCATCAGGATTAGGCAAAGTCAATCAATTCATAACCAAACGTAACTATAGAACAATGGGTTACTTACATTGGCACTCATTATAGGTTAGACATCAGTGTAGATTTCATCCATAAGCTGTAATAAAATAAAATAAATTAGGAAATTGCAAAAAAAAGTTTCATTCAGTAATTTATTCATGGATGTGCTTAGTTTCTGCATGATTCCCATAAGTATATATAGTATTATAGCAAGAGTATATGTTTAGGGAAATCCTGTACTTTTTAAACAAAGCAATTAACAAATATTCATACAGTGACTATAACTGGTCTTCATGAATTACTATGCAAAAATCCATTTAACTACAGAGATAAGGATCTCCCATTTTTGTACATTCACTCAGTGGTACACATAAAACAATTTAACTGTTCACCTGAGCAATACATTGGTGTAACTGAGCCCTGAGCTGATGTATGGCAGAATAACACCCCCTCTAAAAGGGGACAGAGTGAAAATGGGTGGGGCAGGGAGAAATCTTATGGTGCCAGTTCACAATTAACTTTGGAATAGTAACATCTGCTTTTTGGAATGTAGTGTATTAATTTCCGCTGATAGAGATAGATCAGCATAAAAACTATGCTATAAATTGCTGTGTGATAGGGTTCCCATTCCTATGCCATGGCTGTGTCACTGGGCAGCAGTTTTTAAGGGCACTCAGTAAAGATATAAATACAGAAAAGCATAACTGTACTTTTCATTCTAAAAAGAAAATTAAATTAAATGCAGATAAAATCTTTAGAAGTTCTAAATAACAGACTTTTTGGTCTATTTCATGGCTAAGCCCTTGCTGTTGTGTTGTTTTGCATTGATGTTACATTATTTAATGCTGGGTGATTCTAGAATGGTTTAGGTCATTGTGCAAAATCCCATTTCAAGTATATTTAGATTTTAAAGTTGTCTTTTTAATTACATTGTAACTGGCAGCTCTGTGTTGTTCTCATGTAATAGGCAGTATCTAGATGACTATGTTCTGAAATAGTTATTAGTGGAAGAGCACTCCAGTCCCAGGACTATGTCTCTCAGACTTTCCATGTTGACAAGGAAGTGCCAACGGTGAGCTGTCCCTTTGGTGTCTTCCAGCCCCCAGATCACTGCCCAGGAGGAAAGCTCACTTTCCCATCCCCTTCTCTGATTATTTATGCTTTGGTACTGCTGTTCTGTAAGCACACAGTCTTGGCTTTGCCTCTGGTGAAGGTGGTATGAAGAGGTTGTTTCCACAGAGCAGTTCCACACTGAATTTTCCTGCACAGACTGGGCTGTATACCAACTTTAAAACCAGTCTTTCACCCATGGCTCTTTTATTTAATTATAGTTAGTTTAAAATAACCATTGTAATACATCTCCATGACCATGTCATTGGATTTCAGCATTTTTTCACAGCAGTATTTACTGTATTTAGTGACAAATTACTGAAATATCAGCCGTACTATTTTAAGTATCAGTTAAATATGATATTTAATTAATTGTGTCTTAAATTTTGGAATAGATGATCCCAGTGATATTAAGCTTAAATTTTTATTTACAGCAGATAAACTTAAAGCCCAGTGGTATATAATTAGTTCTAGCAGAAAAACAAACTTCCTTTTATTTGGGTCAGACTTCATTTTTGTGCTCAGTGTAGTTCACACAAGTACTGTTTGGTAGGAAAAAATATTTTGCAGCACAAACCTATTACATGGTCTGTGCAGATGAAAATCATTAGTAAATTTTCTTTGTTCAGATTAGAGGAAGGTGAAAATATGCTGAATCACTTATTATTTTAATCCAGATGTTGTTATCCATAAATATTAATCTTGAAGATAAAATGCTAGCTTCATAAATATCTAGTGAACTTCACAAAATTAATTACATTTCAAATATGTGATTCAAAGTCTAAGATTCAGATCTTAGGATGGGATGAATCGCCCTCTGGAGGTGCCCATTTTAGTTTGCTGACTTCACAGGAATCCTGCTTTGAACTGACTAGTTCAAACTAAAAGTTAAGAGACTGGCCCGTCACCTTCATTGAGGAATAACTGAGCATGTCATACCGCAGTAGATTTTGTCGTTAGACCACTCTAAGAATGGCTGCCTTATTCCTCACCTTTTCTGTCAGTGTTCTTGTACTGTTTCTAATATGAATAAACACGATTGTTGCTGTTGCCATTTCCTGTGTATTGTTTTTTCCTGTCCTTTTCATTTTCGATATTATCTTATCTTTCCCTGGTTTTTTTTCTTTTCTTTTTTTTTCCTGACTCTTTACAGCTGCCATCCTTTCTGAAGCTTTTCACTTGCTACTTCTCTGACAATCCTACTTTCCATGTTGAAAATATTGTCCTAACTTGTGATGTGGAAGATTGCTGGCCCTTCCTTTGATGCTGATACCAGTATTTTCTTGACTGATAGTATTGTAATGAAGACATAAAAAAAGAAGACTATGGCACTCACGAATTCTTTTATGGTTTGAGTAGTCAAAATATATCGTTCTTCTGCCTTCATATAAAATGTGTTAGTTTCCCAATGTAATTGTAACTTAAAAAATGTTTGTAGAAATGTAAAATTAAATGTGAAGAGTATAAAATCCATATTAAATACATAAAAATTTAATAAAATACAGCATTAGTCTTTATTTTAACAACTGAGTCCTACATGGCTCATTTGCAAAGTGTGGGGTAGACTTATAAAACTGCGTACTGGTAAAGTCCAACTTACTAAAAGGTGAAATTTCTTTTTCTGTTCAGTAATTATTAAAAGGTCAATTTATTTTCCTTCTCCCTCTGGTTATATTTTCTTGTTATACCTGTTAAAGATCTCCCCTTCTCTTGAGTTCTGTCTTCTCCTTTTTTTTTTTTTTCCTTTTGTTAACCTAAGTTTGTGGTTCCTTTCTACCTGGTCTCTCCTAACTCTTTTTGTCCAATACTGATCCCTTTTTTTCTCATATGTTTGCATTCATTTGCCTAAAATATTGCCTTGAGCATGCTCATATATACCCAAGAACATATTTACTTCTAAATTCTGGATGGATCTGCTATTTTAGAACTTCCAGTAAAGCAGAGAAGAAAGTTAACAATTCATAACAGCGTTTTAGGGGTTTTTATGATACATATGCGTTCAGAGGATCAAAGTACCTTTCTTCCTACATCAATGGAATAGTAACTATAGACAGAGATAAACATTCCTGTAAAAATAAAGACTTATGGTACTTGTTCAATATAGGAATGCTAACTTAAAAAGAGCATGAATGAAACCATGCTGTGTTCAAAAATGGTATGGCAAATGTTTTCAGTTTTGTTTGCATATAAAGAAAAATGCTATTGGTAAGAGTGCTTTGTACTGATAGCAATATAAAGAGATAGAATTTTTTGAAAAAGACAACCAAAAGATATACAAGGCATAAAATCAGGAGAATTTTTGAAAATCATGCTCTACTGTAGCAGAAATACTGACTAATAGTTAATGTTTTTTATAGGGTAGATACCTACGTATTTTATTAGGTAATATGAAATGTTCTTTAGATAATCTAAATTATTTGGATTGCAGTAAAATGAATGCCATGATAGAGCATAAACAGTGATGTTCAGAACTTTTGCTTTATATGTGTAAAATATTATTCTGTAGCCTCTTCTGATACCTACAATAATAGGCAAAAATAATGGCGCTAAAAATAGCAATATATTAGAAAGTTATTGGAGGTGTGAATGAGAGTCATTTATGGTGCCCAGAAGTTTTTAACTACAGTAGTTACCTGCAGGACATTGCATAATTTGGAGGCCATTAACAAAACACCTTTACCAGATATGTATACTGAGCATGAGGAGGACATTACAGACAATGATTAGAAAGCAGAGGAAATTCGGAATCTCTAAAATAGTTACACCAATGAGGAGTCTGTGTTGAACAGTAGAAGCAGTAACTTTTTGCTAAAATTAAGTTGCATTGACTGCAACTAAGTTTATAATGAAAAACTGTATGAAAATCATCCATAGAAAGCCAAAGAATATTAAAACCCCTGTAAAACCTGATGGGGCTTTCTGCAGTATACCCTCAAATCATGCTCATGGACAGCACACATTTAAATCACTGCTGGTTGCTGAAGATTTGTCCTTTCTATTAACAATATAAGGCAATACAGATCCTGAAATAATCTGTGACTTAATACTCATATTCATTTTACAGCAGAGTTGCTATGGACTAAGGCCTTGCTCATCATGAAAAATAATACAATTTTAACAATGGCATATTATTGTTAGAAGGAAGTACATCAAACTGACTTAGCACAGTTTTAGAAAACTAGTTTTGAGAATACTGTATTGGTGTAGCTTAAGTCACAAAACTATTGCTTTTTTGATAATACTACTAATCTAAAATTCAGAATTGCAGCTTGATTATAAGATTATTTTTACACTCAATTTTGTGTATTTTTGATTTGCGATTTTTAAATTATAAAATCTTGGTTTAAAAAATCAGTCAAATGTCTTTATTTTTAAATCTATTAGCAACAGTAAGGAAAGCATAGCTGAAAATACTAACAAAACAGTAAAGATATTTCAGTAAATGAGTAAGTGTAACCATAGGGAAACATTTGCCAGAGGAGAATAAATTTGAGTGAATTGCTACATTAGGATGTGAAAACATAATCTATAAATTCCTGCAGGAAATAATAATGAAAAAATAGATCTTTCTGTTCATAAATACAGCTTAGGTACAGGTGGTCTTGAGAGATGCAATACCACTACAAATTCTAAGAATTGTTTTTTGATTGCATTAGAAACAGGCCTGGCTAAGACATAAATAGAATATAACTATCTGCAGCTATATAAGGAATATAAGGTGAGGGAAACGTAATTTATAAAACAATCACCCTGCTTGCAGATTCTGCAGATCACATGGCTGGCAGACACAGAAATAATTTCACAAATGAACATGGAAGAAGAAAAATCCATGAAGATCATATTGAAGGTTTGCTTCGTTTGACTTTCTCTAGGCCTGTGAGGGTCTCTATGATTATCATATATATATATATACACACATGTATTATATTTATTTTATACATACATATATTGTTATAAATATGGAAATTATGAAAAGCTGTAAAAGAGGAATTTGAGTTATGTGCAAGAGGTGCTTCAAAATAGGTTACAGGATTGTTGTATGGTACTTAAAACAACTGGAAGAAGTAATGAGAGTTAATTCCATACTGGATCTGATAGTGATCAGGAAAAAAAGGAGATACTAACATTGGATACTAACTAGATCTAGCATTAAGACCTTATGACTGTGCAATACTTCTGGTTTAATAAAAAGACCAGAAAAAGTGTAAACATACTGTGAAAATCACTGGCAGAAAGACTGACAGAATGATTTAGAAGAGCAAAAAGCTGGTTCAGAGTAACGTTGCAATAGAATAAGAGAGATTCCACTGTAAAAAAATGTTTAGTGAAGTATAAAGTTGGAGAAAAGGAAACGGAACTGGAAAGGAGAACTTCAAACTTTGCCATCATGCAAAGAAAGAACAGAAAAAGCGCTCAGACCATGTGATGCTATCTAAAAAAGCCTAATTATCCACTTAATTAGTATAATTTTGCTAATATATTCTGAAAGTATGTGAAAATCTTAAAAGAATACAAGAAACCAGATTTTTTTCAAGTTTCTTGAGCAGTTAATTTTTTTTCCCACACAGAATAATACTGAATAAAAGGAAGTCTTAAGACCACTGTCTATGAATTGGATCATTTATTTGAAAAGATAGTTGAAGAAACAGTGAACAATAATGGTAACTGAGAATATAGAAAAGTGTCTGGAAATATGAAGTGTTCCAGATTCTGTACCTTTGTTCTGCTCACTGGAGGTAGCACAAGGTAGGCAAGATCCATTCCTACTCACAGGCTGAGTATTTGCCAGCTCTGGGAAGTCACAGTCAGCCTAACACTGGTCTGTCCTTCACCCATACCAACAGCTCAGTCCTCTGTGCAGATTTGGGACTGGCATCATATGAAGCTATCTCTCTACCAGTTTTTGGCTGCATATAATTTCTTAGGTCACGTAGAAAAGAAGATGCACCACAGCCCAGTCAAGAGCCAGTAACAAACTGGCTAACCCACCTGCTCTCCTGAGCCAGGGTAGCCTCATTTGTACTGCCTATTACAAGAATCCTTAACCCATGCTATTCCTCAAATCCTGCAGTATTTTACCTGAGTGCTTGTGGGCCTTGGCCAAAAGCATACCAAAGAGCAGGCCAACAGTTAAAGGGCGTGGATTATCACATGGTAGAGCTCAAGTATGTGCCTGAGCCCTCTTCAGCTCAGTAACACAGATGTAACCTTAGGAACTGCATCCAGTTGGCAGTAACTACAACTGTACTAACCTGCTCTAAATCAAAAATGCAATGGCATGAAAACAAGTAGCCTTACAGACTACTATTTTTTGAGCAGAAACGACAATTAATGTATTACATTTGGATATAATATGTGACAATTAAAAGGGAAGGAACCCTCGAAAATCTGAAAAATTGTCAATTTAAGAAAGTCAGAGGACAATAGAAGGGAAAACAGTACTTCTCTGATGTGGAAGTATTTTAACAAGGAAACTTGGAAGCCAGTTAGATGACTGAATATTCTTTTCAAGATAAGCAAGGTTACAATAAAGAACTCAGCATAGGACCATTTGGGTAAATAGATGTCGTTCACTATTAAAATGCAGTTTGGGTCCCATCTACCTTGTAGGATAAAAGGCTGAAATATGCTTGTGGTATTTTATTCTGAGACTTTTGAGAAGGAGCTTATGCTGAAGTGGGCATGCTTCAATATAAAATAGTCACCTCATCATGCACAAGATGGGATAAGGACGCTGCTGAATATTTATTCAGTTTTAAAAAAAACAAAAACGATATTCAGTAATGTCTTAGAATGAGTGCAATCTCTGTATTACTTGGACAGGTGTTCAGTATGTGATATAATTACCATTAGGTTCCAGGTCACCTTTTGACCTGTGAGGTCACCAGTTATTTCCATAGTAATTTCTAATTTTAGAGGTTGTAGAAAACTATGTGCAGGAAAAACTGCACAAAAAGGGAAAATGAAATTACTTTCATAGACTGCTTTGTGACCTGGGATTAACTGCTTAGGTCTGAAGATGAAAAATAAAAAAGGAAAGAAAATGTGGCACATCAGACAATGCTGGACCATGATCAATTAGCATTCAATTGAGTATTGCTTTTAAGTCACTTAGAGGTAAAGAGAAGAAATAAACTGCTCAAATAAAAACAATTACATATTCTGAAAGCAGTCACTCTCGTGAGTGCTGAGGACATAAAGTGCATAAATTAAAGAAATTGGGCAAAATTGTAGGATGCTATAGATCAAAGGAAAATAGCCAAGAGTTTGAGAAGTAAGATTAGGAGTAGGGATTTGGAAAGAGTTCTTAATATGAAATGATTCTTAATGGAACACTGGTAAGAAAATAGACCATCATAACAACGATTCAGCATAAATTTGCCTGTATATTTAATGTTTGGAGAAGCTGTTCTACAGAAATGCAGGCAACTTTTCTGGAGGAACAAACCAGCTATTCTGGCTTTACCATATTGCCATGGACCGGATGTGCAACACAGTAGGGAACTGCATTATGAAAAATCCCTTTTGCAGTATGAATGTAAAATTGGCTTGCTTTACATCAGTAGGATTATGTTTTTTGCCAATACTAGAAACTACGTTAAAAGAAGGAAGAGAATATTAATGAATAATACAAGAAACTGGAATTAGATGCACATAGATAGAGAATAACATAAAGCAAATCTGTCACACATATTACATACCTAGCTGTATATAAAGAAATTTTCTTTCTTAT